GAGTCCACTCAAGGAAAAATAAATGTCGAAGAAGTGTGTGTACGAGAGGTCATGTCCAATCGAGACTCACCAATCGCTACGATTACTTTGTGGCTGGTATAATGCAGGCTTTGTCAGCCGGTAATAAAGACTATGTTGCAAAGGCTAACCCGGGGCACTCACTTCCGGTCCGGAGTTGTAAAGGCTATAATGCAGTATAGTCCTTGCGTTTAGACCTAGTCGAGGCAACATCGGGGGCAAGAAATACTCTAAACCCTTGCCTCCTTTTCTCTCCCAAACTAAAGACTTGCGACACTCAAGAGGCTGGGTGTGGCCCCTGTGTATAAATACATTTTTCTTGTAGGGTTTTTCACTGTAAAAACGTAACTATCGCAGCGGGAAATTGTAACTTGATATGGGCGGGGTTTTGCTTGTTCTACACCCGATTTTGAGGTTTTACACTTCCCCCCCCCCCCCCCCAGGGGTATTTTATCTAACTTTGACGAGGATTCTGTAGGTATTATGTAGTCCCTTATCGGGATGACATACAATACGTGACTCTTATCGTTGCCCCTTATACGACTTATTTAACCCTGTTTAAGTTCAAAATCTTGCGCCCTAGACTGTTACCTTTTTCCGAGAAACCCATTTTTCTTTTTCGGGAGGAGGTAAAGTAACAGATGTCTTCGTCGGAGAAAGGGGACCCGATACCTTATTTTGTAATGTTAAGCATTAAGGTACACCCAGGCGGAATACGGTGGCATAACCTCTTGAGGTCGTCCATTAGAGGGAGGTTGAGGGACGTCCATTGGAATAGAAAGCGGCCTCCTAAACATCGAAGAATCGAAACATAAAAAACCTAAAATCGGCTGGTGAGGTCGCAATTATAGAACCAACGGTCAGAAGACAGACAAGAGTAGGGGTTACAACAAAAGTCCGTTCAAAACTCCTTATGTGGTTACTGGTCTAAGGTCAGTTCCGATAATTTCTGAATTTTCAACTCATGATTACCATGTAAAGGACTAACGCTACAAACTACGAGGGTCGTACACACTGGATCTAGTCACCAAGGGGCTTGCCAATCCGGAGCCCTTGGGTGAAAATGAAACAGGTATTTAGCGCTTGGGGGGTTTATAAGCTTGGGTGTTGGATAAGTTGTTTTTTATCACGACATTATATATATGCTAAAGGTCGTTAGTGTAGATAATTAATTTCACTTCATGTACCGCATATAGGGCATATAGGCGAAGTGTCTTTGATTTCATAAACGAAATTTTTTTTTCCAATTACTCTACTACCTTTAGTTTCGACTTGACATTTGTATTTTTCCGTGTGACGACTTTTGGTTTTTGGGTCTTCCCCCAGCCCCCCTTTAGAGGGGGGGGCCTCTAAAAATCTTTATGATTGGTATATTTGATGCGTAAGACCATGTGAGACTCTTCTTTATTTTTTGATATATCGCGTCTGTATAAATTCTATAGATACGGTAACAACAAAAAGTTTTGAAACAAGACTGTCGACGGACCGAGGAGTGTTCTCTCTTCTCATTTCTCCTCTCTCAGATACCTTAATGAAACTTAAGCGACCCACTCACCAGCTGGTAGTCCGTTTCTACAAAAACTCTTCTACTAGGTGATGTTGTCTTAAAAGGATTTGGACAAATACCAGAGGCCGATGAAGGTCAGGGTTGCCGGATGGCTTACATTCGTCCGGCAATCTTTTAGCCCGGACAGGTTTTTATTTTCAACTGAAAAAGGGGCCGTTTTTTTTTCTTTTTTAGTTAGTTAAAGCAAAAAAGAAGGGTGGAGGTGTTTTAGGCGCTGGGGTGAGGCTTTGCCCAGGCGCTGGGGTGGTCAACTCTCGGTGGTGAGATGTCTCACTGTCCGGGAAGGTTTTTCCGCTGATACCCCGTCATCAATAACCGATACCGCTTTTTGGTACTGGCAGTAACAGAAGTTCAACCTTCTTGGGTAGGGGCTACTCCACGCCGGGGGGCGACCACTTTTACCGCTCAGTACCCAGGCTCGGTCAAACACAGGCTGTAGACACTAGTCGGGGCCAAGGGAAGCGTGGACCCGTCTCCGCCGTGGGACTCTCCATCGTAGTGGAGTCTCTCACAAGTTGAGGAGGCACACCAACATGTTCCGCTTTCGACAGTAGGGATCGTCCGTGTCGTTTGTGGTTTCGGTTTACTTGAGGACCCGGTATTACTCCGAACAAATAAGTTATTGGGGTCATTCTTTGTCATCATCCCACCCGGGTCTTCATGATTCTAGATTTTTATTCATATGACGTCACCATCTCTTTATGGAGACAATGTGAGACTCTTCATCGAGTAAACACGTGACCCGGTTCCTATATGTTTAAAGTCTTATCGTATAAATAATACACCAAATGTGAAAATGCACTTCGCACACCAGCTCGCAGTGCTTATTATGTACGGAATAAAGTAATCAAACTAAAGTTTTACACATTATTTTAAGATTTCGATGTTTTCAATTATTATTGTACTAGTGTAGTAACAGTATCACCTCATTTTTCATAGTAATTCCACCCGTCGACTCTAATTCACTTTATTAGTTTTTCCCGGATTTTATCTTTATAATATATACGTTTTTCACAAACTCACAAAGTTAAGAATTACGTACGAAAACCCATTATACTTCCGACAAAACCGAAAAAGGGACGACATTCGTTTACGTTTACGGGGAGACTCCCCTGCATATTTCCATAACGATTAGAATAAATCACGTAGGGAGTGGACGTTTTGTCCTTCGGGACATTGAACTGATGCGGCGCCGACCCCCACATCCGACGTAGAGTAGAAAGGACTTGGGGAACTAGACCTTACACACACACAACACGCAGCAGCTAGACGAGTCGGGGAGGACACGCCCTCCTTGAAAGACGAGGCACGAGCTAGGTCGAGTCCTCTCGCCCGGGCGTCGACGTCTCGAGCTGACGACAGACAGACAGACTAACCTTTCTGGTTTAGAAAGAGGCACCTGAGAACCTCCAGGACCATCTGGCGCGGAGGGACGGACGACTAATATGGGACGTCGAAGGACTCCGACCCTGTCGCGCCGGTGGACCGAAGGACCGCCCAGCTAAACTTGGATTCTTCCGGACACAGGTGTGGCGACTCTACGCACCAACGGAACTAAGATCACTGAGGCAACTTCTAAACGAGGGTGGCGGAGGGGGGAACCAGCTCGAGATTTGAGACCTCCCAAAGTCTCCGTACTGCAGGGGAGACAGAGCAGCAGGACACACACTAACAGATTGGTGTGAAGGGTACTAGATTGGGCCCGGGGAGTAATACTACACCAAGACAACCTAGACACCCGACAAGGAAACCCGGCGGCTTCCCTACAGGGCCAACTTATCCACTCCCGGAACTTACTTTCCCGCTGGTCTCGGAGTCCCACGGGGTCAAGGGACTCATTCCGTCCCAGCGAGGCGGACCGACGACCTCCTTCGGGGGTGGTTTGTAGTGGGGGGACGAGGCCGATGTAGGACCTAGACATTCCAACCAATCCGTATTGGGTGTTTGTAATTGGGTGTGATCTTATGTAAATCTCCACACCTTTATCATTTTTATGAACCATAGACGAGGAACCGAGGGGAAAACGTATAGTACGAAACAAAACGATACAAACATTTTACATTTGAAGAATTTACAAAATACACTGCCCTGATCCGCCTACCTTTAACTCGATTTTCCGATTTTAGACCGTGACAATGCGAACTTGGTGTAAACTTACAAAATTCACAAGTAATGGTCCCCCCCCCCCCCCCCCACCGTACAGGGGACGGTTTATTTGGGCTAATTTATTTTTGCCGCGGGGAAAAGTTTCGTCCCGGTGTCTATGGTACAGGAGGACAGAGGGCAAAAAAAACAAAGGCAAGAGAGAAAGCCTTTGAGCTCCATACTGTTTCAGAAATAATCCTTGATAATCCATGATATGGCGTTTCATCACCGCAGTATCTGCCGGTAGAATCTCCCGCATGAGCTCAGCGCCCTCCTTTTTTTTTTAAAGCTTTATACCCCAAATCAGCACTTTTGAAACAGGAATAGAGGGATATGAGGCATGGCTAGAATGGGTGATCTGTTTGGTATTTTGAGCAAAACACTTAGACATATATCTGAGACCTATGCTATTGCCTAAAAATAGCATGATAGGTGCACTTTAACACTTTTTTTTTTTTTTGTTGGACTGTCTTAGTCCATGGATGGGTGTAGTTACTCTTAAACACAGTCACTTGATCTTATCAAATAACCATATGGATGGTTGCAGCTCAAACGTAACTTTTCACCAAACCGCCTCACCTTTCACAGCATTGACAAGATTAAGGAGCAGCTCGGACTGTAGCCGCCGCTCCACTGCAGGGTAATGGATGATATCCATGGAGCGACGTGAGTTAAATCTGCGGCTTATGCCATAAGTCACTGTTCAGTCACCCATGGAATAAGTAGGCTTAAGCCAGAGGGAACAGGGGGATCAATAGTGAGAGATTGGAGAGCGGAGATGAGCTTCTAACTCCTGTCTGACTCGCATACATCCTCCTCTCTTCATCTGACCCTGTCCCGTTTCTCCAGACAATGGCGTTTCATCAGTGGACAGTGTGTTCATCTTCCAGAGCTCCGCGGAAGACGCCACACACACCTCCTACGACGCCATCGTGGTGGAGCAGTGGACCGTTGTCGATGTGGGTCTTTTGAGTTTTTAATACTCTGTGCACTTTGAGGAATCCTTTGTGACTGAAGGCTTAAGCTGTTTTCTGTCAAACATTACTTGAAAGAGTGGAGATGAAGGAATGTAGCAAGTGAGCTTACGGATGAGTTAAAATAGTGTGTGTGTGCGTAATGCCTTTTCCTCAGTGTTTTCTGTCTCTCATGTCCAGGGAGTTGTGGTGAAGACAGACTACATCCCCCTGCTCCAGTCTCTGGCTCCCTATGGATGGAGGCTGATGTGTGTGTTACCCACACCCATTGTGAAGACCAACAGGTACATAACCACACCCCAACGTACCCCTGGTGGAAAGTATTTACTCAAGTACTGTATTTAAGTACAATTTTGAAGCACTGGTACATTTAAGAGGTAAACATTGTAGTCTCTACTCCTCTACATTTATTTGACAGCTTAGAATTCTAGTCACTTTTAGGATCATGGATAATAATACACATTTGTTGAAGTTCAACACATTTTACGGCACTAAACCAGTGTTTTTCAAACTTTTGGGATTCAGACATCTTACACAAAGCAAAAAGTGTATTTGGGACACATTTCAGATTCAGAGTTACTCCATTAAATATTTATAGTTCCCTCTAAACATTTCAAGAAATGTTCAAAAGCTCCAACTTTTCACCAAAAAGAAAATATATAAGTCCAAAAAAGTTTTTCTTCTGTCCTCTCCCATTAAACATCTCAAGCATGCTGCGTACACATTTAGCTAATTACTTCATGTCATATATAATGTATCAGTTGGGACCACATTTCTATTTTAGCTTTAACTATGCTGTGCTGCTACTACTTACAAACTAGTATTCTTACGTTTATGCTGTATATTTGCATTTACTGAAGAAAGGATCTCTGAAAGATTCCACTTTAACAACCTTAAACACCTGTCCTTTACTTTTTCTATATATCCACACAACTAAGGACTAATTAGTGCTTTGTTGATTTTACAGTCTTTTCTCTTATGTCTTAGACTCTGCCTGTCTGGTTGTTTTTGGGATTAGGCCTGTCAGCGTAGCTTAGATACACAGAACAGATGGTTTAAGATCTGACAAATAAAGATCATATGCTCGTCTCGACATGAAACCGCTTATAATATCTGCCGCTGCTGCGAACAAAAGCGCCGTCGCTGACGTGCTGTTGGCTTGTAACCTGTCACTTTCCGAACAGCAGCGAACAGAATCTGGATTTCAAAAGTGACAGATTATAACAAAAACAGGTAAAAGTAATAATAAAAGTGCTGTTTCTTTTCTTTCTGCAGTGACGGGAGTTTGTCGACCAAGCAAATCCTGTTCCTTCAGAGACCCGTTCTGCAGCGCAAGAGAAAAGACTTCAAGGTTTGTTCCCCATTGTCTTCCACCTCCGCATCAAATCTGTCACTTGTGTCTGTTCTGCCTTTAGGATACAGGCTTTATGTCACAGAAGGTGCCATTCAAAAGTTGTTACTAAACATGAGACATACAGCAAATAAAAAGACTCAGTATAAATGTCTAATAATAGGCGAAGATATGACCTCAAACTGCACAGGAAAGAGGCATCAATGAGAGAGGCTTTGTTGTGGTTTGGCAGGTGTCAAAACTGCCTCAAACACATCTCTCTGGTTTCAGATGCGCAACCTCAGGGGTCGCAGCAAGGCGAAGAAGAAAACTACCGGGGAAACGGAAGAGGAGAGGGAGAACATGTCCCCTCTGATGGAGACGGAGATGGACAGGTTGAGGAGGAACTCAAAGGAGGAGGAGGAAGAAGAAGAAGAGGGGAGGAAGAGCAGGGGCAGCGTAAGGAGCGAAGGTGGAAAGGAGAGTGAAGAGGATACACACCATCAAAGGGGCTTCTGGTTCTTATCGGGGAGCAGGGCTTCTGTCGAGGAACAGGAAGAGGAAACCGACGTGGACGAGATCAAGCTGTCCGAGCTGAAGGAGTCGGTGAGATGGACAGATGTGTGCCAGAGAAGTGACGGGGGGGTCAAGGAGGAGGGGAAGACAGAGGAGAGGATCAAGCAGCAGCTGTTTTCAGGCGTCTGTTGACACATTGGGCACAAAGCAGGCGAGGGTGGGGGGGGGGGAGCTGAAGCCTGTTTAGAGGATCAAAAACAATGCCTTTTAAAATAACTTTTTGTTCATCTGGAGTTTCTTTTTGTTCCCCTGACAACCCAGATGTAGTCATACTGTTCCTGGTCCTGCACTGTTGCGAGTCTTTGAGGTTGTAGATCCCAGATTTGGGAAAGTGTTGTGCAGTTCTCTGCTTTGGGTCACTGTTGCTATTTGGTGTGTTTGATTATATGAAATGAATCTGTGCAAGGCTGATAGAGAACCACCTCCACTCCACGCCTTAATTCTCTTGTTGTATTTTAATACTTTTCTTGTAATAGGAACGTTAAAAAGGGAGTTTCACTGGGCTCGCTGTATTTTTATATATGGAGTATATAATTAAAGATAGAAACAAGAAAGGGACAAGTCGACAGAGTATGAAGTAAACGGTTGGAGCACGACTGATACATCAAATTTAGCTTATTATAGATTTGTATCTATACCGGCCTAAGTAAATAACTACAAAATTGCAGACAGTTTTTAGGTGATTAAGAAACTTTTTCTTCAATACACACTGTAGTTTTGAAACAGTAAGTCTTCAATTCTAAAATATTTCACTCAATGAAGTATCTTCACCACAACTTTATATTCAAATATTTAAGGGATCCTTAACAATAAACCAATAAATGTTGCTTAGAACAATGACATCGACCAATTTCATAATTATCAGACTTTTACAATTCTCTGTATCGGCCGGACTCTTCTCCAAAATATAAATGGTGTTTGGTCTCAACAATAATGTTTAGTGAGTTCAAAACAATTACAAAAAAGGTATTCTGTCACTGGAGGAATCTAGTTTTCTCTGGCCTGATTTTGGGATAACTATCTCTGAGCTTTCGTCACCTCAATAAAATGATGTTAAAAGGCATTCTGTGTATGGTGCTCACCACCTAAATAGAAATCCCTTATCTGAAGCTGTGATCTAATGGTTTACATAACACAGTTTCTTCTTTAGAAAGCTGTTCCTATGAAGACTGATTAGTTGTTGGTTTATTTTCCAGAGTAACAGGGAAATGGCTTTCCAACTTTTTTAAATGCTGGAAGACAGACCATAAATGAGTTTACTTGATTAGACTACAAGATGAAAGGAAAAAAGCCTTCTGTAATTCAAGAAAACTGACCTTTTCCTTCTTTGAAAAACGTGTAAATTAGCAATCAACTATTTATTTCTTATTTCCTGGACCACCTGTGTCGTGTCTGAGTAGTGTGACATGTGAGTCTTTATATAAAAGCAGAGGTCAATAAAGTGTTTGAAAACAGATTGACTCAATTCCCTTTATTTCCTCTAAATCTCACGTTACCGGCATAAACTGTTTCCTTCATATGAGGAAGAAAAGCAAAAAACAACTCAAATGGGTCTCTGCAGCGTAACCCCCACTGAGACGCCGCCAAGAAGCTCGCAAACATCTCTGAGGGATGTTCAGTGATCCAAGCCAATCAAGAGACCACCTGGAGCTTCTATTACAGTGCACCATGGGAGACGCACTGCACCCTGGGACCAGAACCGTTTATGGCTACCTAGATGTGTGTGATTGAGTTAAAATGTATGTGAGATTGGCACTGTATGCATGTAAGGGTGTGTGATGGAGTAAAACATGCAGCGACACGTGCCAATACGTGGGAAATTGTTGCTTTTCTTGAAACACTAAAAATACACTTGGTGTGAAGTTAGCATGTGGGTAAAATGTGAAAAACAACGCTCCAATGCAGTCAAAGTCATCAGCCAAACAACTCTTCAGCTCTGCAAATAAATAGCTCTGAGTTATATACACACCATAACACTTCTTAAACACATGATAAAATCAGCAGAGGTATTTTGATAGAGGTAAATCAGTCTTTCCAACACGTGTGTAAAGTGTAAAATAACAGAACAGATAGCTTGCACTAACCCTCTTTACCTTAGAGACTTTGAAGACATCTGTATGGGTATGGCGCTTATTTAATGAATTGCCAAGAGACATAAGATTGGGAAATATGCATACAGGTTGTCTGCCTAAAAAAAAGAGACTCTTTTGGCTATGCAGCTCAGTCTGTAGGGTCTTGGCTTGGAAACTGGAGGTCGCCGGTTCAAGTCCCGCCCTGCCGATCGAAAAAATTAAAAGCGCGTGGACTAGTAGCTGTAGAGTTGCCAGTTTACCTCCTGGGCACCAAGCAAGCATTATCATTGTGTGTGTGTGTGTGTGTGTGTGTGTGTGTGTGTGTGTGTGTGTGTGTGTGTGTGTGTGTGTGTGTGTGTGTGTGTGTGTGTGTGTGTGTGTGATAACAGAGTGGAAAACTGGATTAGGATTAATAAAGCTTCATCTGTTTTTTTCTTAAATTATTGTTCCATGACAAGCTTGAATAAATAAATTGTTGCCATAACATTAATGTGAACAATTCGGGTCAGACTAAACATTATAATCTATTCAAGTAGAACCTCAGTCAAGCAATTATAGGCTGTTAATGAGATCAGATGTGAAGATGTGTAACAGCTGTGTGACAGTGTGTCTTTGTTGTTAGAATATTCAGCAAAACGGTGAGCTATAAAATATATTTTCTAGACACCAAAATAGAGATTTTACAGTCTGTTAGTCAGTCCTCTTTTGTCGATGATAGGAAATAAAACTCATTGTGTTTGTGAGTCAGCTTGTAGTTGCATAGTGGGTGGTCCCAGTGGCATAGCAGATCAGGCACAGGTTGAGGTAGCTCGGGATCCGTGAGTGAATTTCCTCCAGCGCTCATAAAAGTTTTCATTCTCGACACACACGGAATATCCTCCCCCTGCAGATTGCAAAGGGTTCTACCACCACTTCTCAAAGAGGATTCTGTCTTTCGGGAGTCCGAAGTCTAGGAGGGTTTTGGAAAGTGTTTCTATCATGGGTGGGGGTCCACACAGGAAGCACAAAGTCCTCTGCAGGTCCACGTGAGAAAGCAGCTTCTCCTCTGTGATTCTCCCACCTGAGGAGACACAAGGGAAGTCAAACAATGAATCAAGGCTCGGCACGGCGGCGCCTATTCCTCCCTCGTCTGCCATGTGCAGCTTTGATTGAGTCGTTCTACATGAAGAACAGATTCATCAACAGAGAGAAACGGTGGTAGAACGTGACAGTCAGTAAATCATCCCTGCTAACAAATAAAAGATATGCGTGTAGATATGTGCGGTTGGAGCATTACTCACGGTTGATAAAAGGCTGGAGGTGTGAGTCAACATCTGTGATCTGCTGCGTGACGTGGAGGTCACAGGAGAGCTTGTCGGGGAACTCCAGACACGCAGTGATGATGGAGCTCTGGGAACAACACAGGTCGTAGTTAAGGTAGAGCTTCTCTTATATAATGCATACTGGGCACACCTGCCCACGTGTACAAGACAAACGCTTAGACACTGTTGTGTTTGTCTAGCTATATCGAAAGCTTAAAAAGAAATCCTCAAATTACTCTGCAATATATTAGGAATATTAGTAATATAACTAGGAATAGGTAGTATATTGATACAACTGCATATTGTTCTACTTGAGATATAGTTAGTGAGCATATTGCAAACATCACAAATACATTTTTAAAGCCGCCGGCGTAAAGGTTGCTCTGCGTTTTCTTCTCTAGATCTCTCCCTCTCACAGACACAAAATATAGATACTAAATAATAAATATAACATACCATTAAAACAAATAAAAAACTGCCCGAAGACTGTATTTCAGATGAAACAGAATATATGTATTGTGTGAAATCAAACTTAAAAAACTAGCATAGTTATATATCATAAACAGCTGTGTTCCCCTTTAAATTCAGCTACGTTTGATAGGATGATCTCACTTGTATAAACATATACATCATAGAGTTAAACAGTATTTAAATTAAGAGAATACTTTATACATGTATGTTCCTGCATAGGTTAAAATATAATATATTTTAATAGCCATGTCACCTAGACGTAATTCCAACAGTGAAAAGCAACACACCTTGAAGAGCAGCTCCTGGGTGTTCTTGGCGCTGTAGCAGAGGTGGGCGGAGCCTATGTTGAAGTCCCGCCCCCCTGAGGCCTGGTTGCGATGCAGCAGATCTGAGGTGTGCAGCAGGATGGAGTACAAGGGGTTGATCCCCACACCGCCCGCCACCAGCAGCAAATCAACAGAGGGGTCAGAGGGCGAGGGGTCGAAGAAGAAGTCCCCGCCGACACGCATGGCAACCTGGGAGCCCACTGTACACTGAGGGGGGGGAGAAGAGAGGCTGATAAGGAGAGAGGAGCAGACTGTGTTGACTCGTTGTCTCTTTCCCAGCAGCTGAAATACACCTTTTGACTTAAATAAATACAGCATCGCTTCCCCTACACCGAACACAAGCCTCAGGAAACAGACACTTTCAGTTCAGCGTGCAAACACACAACAAACCTCAGCTCAGTGTGGGGAAGAGAGATTTCATAAGTTGCGCAGAGAAAGGCCTTTGAAGTCAAAAAGAGCAGTAAATACGCCTTCATCTGCTCTCACACACACACACACACACACACACACACACACACACACACACACACACACACACACACACACACACACACACACACACACACACACAATGATAATGCTTGCATTCTTAATCTGCTGCTGTGGTCCCTACACTATCCCTGCTCAGTGAGAGGAGTCGGAGCGCAGTATCAAACAAATGGATCATCAAACGATCCCGGAGCGGAGAGCTGTACGTCTCAGGATGCTCAAACACATCACTTCGCTTTCTGAGACTTATTAACACGAGGCGAAGAAGCTCAAAGCTATTTATTAGTCCCGTCATCAAACACAGAAGCTGCAAACAAACAGGCAGAAAGTAGGAAAAGGCATTGTTCAAATTCACGCTATTACTCCTTGAAGCCCAAACACAGTTAAGCACAAAGGACGTTTCTATATCTGTATTCCTTTTGTCTATGTCTTCTTCACACAACCTTTATTTACCCTGTGTATTCAACATCTTTCCTACGTTTGTAGCCACACTATCACTATTATTCTTCTGAACTTCTACGCAGGCAGTTTTCAAATTCGCTGACACACTTTAAGGAACCCTGGACAGCTATTACGCGTGATGGAAAAACATTAGGGGTCATTTGGCTAACAGCACCTCAACATTTTTATTTATGTGATTAAAGGAACAATTGGGAGAGTATTGCAAGTTTTTAATGTAACTTTTTAGAACCGGCAAGGGCCGATTGCTTCTGCACGTCAGTAAAATTAAATCATCCGACATTATCCTTTACAAAAATCACATTTTTAGAAACACCAGTGCTGCGAATGTGTGGCTGGAGTCTTCATTTCGCAACTCGATAACATTTTTAGCATTTCCAAACACCCTGGTGGCTCCACTCCTTCTCTTCTGCATCTCACTTCCAAACTTTCTCCCTCATGCATACACAAAATAATCTTCCAAACCATTAGATAGCAATCTGACCAAATGTACTTTACTGAAATATTTTTAACTTATAGGAAGCAATCTTTTCCCTGGAGAATGACCACTTACTCTATTTCTGATACACAATATCATATCCGGCTTTCTGCCCACTCACCATGGTGTGGACCCAGTGGGCGGGGGGGTGCTTTGCGTATTTGACGGCCAGCTCCACGATGCCCTCCCTCTGCAGCAGACCCGGGCCGGAGCACATGGAGAAACCTCCCACCTTCTCCACGCCGGGGATGAAGAGATCCACCCTGCACACACCACCACAAAACACACACATGTTCCATAATTGGCTGTTTAAACACATGCTTATCCATGTATAGACTAAAACCATGTGTTCCGTGTGAGTCTGACAATGGGTGCTACATCTAATGCAGTATAGTAGATAGTTATAGCTGTCAAAGTGAAATGTATATACTGTATATTTAACCTTTATACATAAAATATCTGTTTATTTGTTCATTCAACTGTTCAGATTTTAACTTGTGTTATTTTTATTATTTCTATTCACACTGTTACTACATGTTTAATCTTAATAATATTTATTTGTATATCCTTATTATCCCATGTCTACTATCTGTCTGTCTGTCTTATTCTGTTTCCGACACCTACATTTCCCTACAGGGATCAATAAAGGTCAATCTTATCTTATCTTGGAACATAACATCAATTGTTTTATTTCAGCCCTTTTTCTAATGTTTGTGTTCCTGGACAAAGACATTCTTATAGGAAATATAGTTTCAGGCGTTGGTGCTGGACTTGGCACCCCCTCTATAACTTTGTCCAAGATAGGCGTACTGTCACCAAAATCACACTGGTGTTTGCTGTTCCCCTCTAGTTTGTGCACATAAAAACATTTTACTCTGGGCTCAGCAGGTGAAAAAGCATTTTCAGATTATTACAAAGGTGAATTGAAGAGTAGAAAACACGTTGGACTGAGGGTCAAAGTGTGAATGAAGTGAAGGTGGTGCCCTTTGACCTCAGTGAAGAGGGCAGCGTGTTTCAGAAACCAAAGCAGAACAAAACCAGACCAGATGCAGAGTTGCCTTTTAGTCTTTTCAAAATGAAGCGTCCCAGTCTCCCACACAACGTGGTCGCATCTGTCCGTCAGCGAGCGGTCAGCGTTGCTGTTCTCCACTCCCAGAGGAAAACAGCAATGCTTAACAGTCGGGCTAATGTTCCAACAACACAAAGAGCCACTGTTACACATGAGAGAGAGACTCCACAGCCCTCGGAGGCATCATAAATATGGATCTGCCGCACACATATGTTCCACCCACTTCCTTCTCCTTCTCCTCATCCTCATCCTCATCCTCTCCCACCTGGAGACGAGCAACTAAACAGTCTCTTTTCCTCAGAAACATTGAAATGATTTCCATACTTTAACATTCATTATGAGTCGCTACGGAGCAACTGGCTGCTGGTTTAATGTCTCACCACCGCCCACCTACAGTATGGGCTCATGTACATATACTGCATGTGGAGGGTCCTAATTAAACATTGGCAACACTGACTGACAAGACAAAGCTATGCCTTCAAGATGAAGTACTTAACTTGCTTTTAGGGATAATGAGAGTCAATGAAGATTATCTTGAAAACTAAACCATTTTCAAATGTTTTGCAGAAGTCAAAAACAAGACACTGTGCCTCAAATATCTTTCAAGTGCATACAGTGCATAAACTATTACCTACATACAGTATATCTATGAGCTAACTATTTGGTTGCTTATTTGAGTTAAAGCTTTAAATAATTCATGACCTTTCATCCTTCCTTTAGCTGATGAAATAAATATCCCGAAAACACATTTGTCTTATAAACAGTGACTGGTTTACGGGCATGCTGTCATGTAGAATTGCAAATTCCTATTAACTGTAAAAGTTTTGGGAGGACTAATGCAACACAATGCCGCCACCTTGTGGTTACCATGAGCGCTACAGGCGAAATCCAGAAGGATGTTTCATAACGTTTTTAAAATGTTGGTTTGAATTTAGATTCTGATTTGAAGTGAACAGAGACTCGGATAACAGAGGCTTATGTAGATCATCGAGCATGTGACGCTTGAAGGTATCATTAATGATATTTTTTTAAATATCAGGTGAAGGTGCATGTGGTAATATGGTACTGTTCTCTGGAAAAATAATAGTCTGATGACCTGATCTAACTGTATTTTCTTTTAAAACATACATTTTCTCTCGAGTCTACTCACCACTGTCCTGCTTTGAAGCTGAAGTCTGGGGGAACAGCTATTCTCAGACGTTTCACCGTCTCCGACTCTTTAATGATGCCACGTACTTCAGCAGGATACAGAGCCTAAGTAAGGCAACACACAGGAACAGAGCTGAGTTTATTTATTTTATTTTTATCGTTTATTTGGCAGGGACAATGCATAGTAGTGAACACTTAAAACATTCAAATGTGTCAAGCGTAACAGTGTCAGATTTAGCTTTGAGCTCATTTCCATCCGCAGTCCCTACCATAAAACATTTAAGAAAATTACATTTTACAAACATAGCAAAAACAAAATACATGATATGCAAAAAGTGCAAAAGAGCAGCATACACAAGTATTTACCACATGGCAGTACAATATAGCAGCTACAACATATAAGGTGCAAGAGAAGATAAAAGTGCTACATAAAGTGCAAGAGGAGATAATCCCGTGTTAAAGTGCATTTAGCGGTGATTGTTTCTCAACCATTCTTTGAGTTGACCTTTAAAGCTATTGAGAGTGGGACAATCCCGTATCTCAGTTGGGAGGCTATTCCAGAAAGAGCTGCTTTTAATGGAGTACATTTGGTCCAAAAGTGGTCCGTCTGCAGTGGACTTCACAGTCTCCTCTGGTTTCTGACCTAGTGCTGCGTCCAGTGTGTTTTTTGTGGATGAATTCCCCCAAGGGAGGGGGTCAGTTTTTGAGTGTCAAAACTCAAGAAATTGTGTTTTTCAAGGATGGTACAGTGGTGGTATGAATTTGGCTTCCTATAAACCTAGGATGATACTGCTAATAAGTGGCACAAGTAAAAGATAGTGCATATTAATCCAACAAAATAAATAAATATGAACTTACATTTTGTCTGTTGTTGCCCGCTGTTCTCTCTAGATGGTCCATCTTTCTTTTGGAGGACATGTTTCTTTTAAAAAAAAGGAAGTAGTTTAACCTCAAACATTACACAGTGAGTGAAGAGCCACATGACATTCAAAAACTGCAAGTGGACTTTGCCCTTTCTGCCAGAGAGCAACAACAAACCTAAAAGGGCCAGTGCACCTAAATTACAACTCACAACTAGCTGTGTCTAGCCATGGAGATAGTTTTAGTTTCATGTGCTTAAGTTTAGAAATGATTCGCTGTTTCCCCCGATTTAACAAAAGCAAATTGCCTTTTGTTTGTGGGGCTCTTAGCATTAAAACATACAATTGATTTTCTTTTAACTATATGGGGTGGACACAAATGTCTGAGTAGATGATATCTAAAACCTCAACACATAAAATCCAAAAGTAACATACATCGTAATATCTCTATATGTTTAATTACGGTTAAAAAAATTAAGGTTAAAAAAGATGTCAGGGTTCAGACACTTTTTACCAATGATTTTCAATGATTTTTCCATGACTTCTACTTAATTTTCCATGACCAAAAAAATTACTTTTTCTCAGCGGTACCACTGAAAATGGTTTATTTTAACATGGAACAGGAAAATAAGGTTTGCATATGAAACATGTTGTGCCTATCTAAAACAAATCCAATAGTAGGCTTACTAGCTTTTACAGGCTAAAGCAACTAAAATCTCTCACCAGTAAAATACCTCGTCAGTTAAATGCCATTTTACGTTTCATTACTATACTATACTATTTATTATCACTATAGTATTACTATTTCGGCGATTAGATAAAATATAAATTATATTTGATGCAAATTTAGTTACATTTCCATGACTTTGGGAAAAATATTGTTTTCCATAACCTTTCCAGGGCCTGGAATTAGCATTTTGAATTTCCAGGACTTTTCCAGGTTTTTAATGAGCGTAAGAACCCTGAATTTTATAAATATACGCTTGCCTCTTTAATTAATATTCTACTCTACTTGTTCTTATTTTTCCGTTACACTGTCCCCTTTGCGGTAAGAATGTAAATGTTCCCCGCTGTGGGACGAATAAAGACTTCTGATTCTGATGTTTGACAATATAGTCCTTAAAGTAAGTAACACACTTTTACAATAACTAACAAGCATTCTCCTGGATAAAGACACACTATAGCTACCTTGTTGTCAGTCCCCACAGTGATTCAGGAGTGAGTAGCCTTAGTAGTAGTAGAACACAATAAAGCCCCAACAAACACAGCTGGTACCTTCCAGAGTAAACTCACCTTGTGGCCTGGCTGGGGCCCAGCAGCCGGCAGGAGAGCGGCCCGGCGGCGGGAAACTGGAGGCTGAAGCTCCGGGCTGCGAAGGACCAGAACCCGGGGACCCGCATCTCTACCTGGGCTGACATAAACGAAGAGAATTTAGCAAAAACGTTTTAATTCGCACTTGGAAAAAACACAATCATTCTCAGTTCATTTTCCTTCCGTATGATCAATAATAAAGTCTCTTTAAGTTACAGCAGCTGTCATCCAACTTAACCCCCGAACAATGCAGTGTGAAAACGTCACCAAACTCACAGAATAATCTAGTATTCAAGTCAGGTAAACGCCCAGAAACCTTTCTCATTATTTCACTTATTTAAGATACTTGAATAGACCCTTTCTCTGTTGTAGATGATTGCTGTTGTTTTTTGTAATTTCTATCTTTGTAAACCGTTGATTTGATCTATAGGCCTACTGTGTAGGCTATGTGTAGGTAGGCTTACTATTCAATGTTCAAAAAGACTTGCTTTAAATGTTGTACATTGTCAGGTAGTGCATACAGCTAAACTGACTAATTTAAGATGACTAAAGACTTAAGTGTTACTCACAATTTCATAATCTAAACTGGTGTTTTTTATATGACGAGAACGACCGGAATAAGAGGTCAAAATGGTGACATATTGATAAAAAGCCAAAAGGTATAATAGTGATTTATTTGCGTGTGGCTTGACCTCCCTCGTCAGGTTGATGGTTAGCTCACATGCTAAACATGTTAGCATTCCGAAGCCGGTTCGTATTTTCACACAGACACATAACTCTATAGGAAACAACAAGCGGCAGAGAGGCTTTTCTTACCAAGATAAGACGATGTCAAATGGTATTCATATGTATCTTCGTTATAACCTTGTATAATAAGCTTACTGTTACATGACTATACAGTAGTCTTCTTCTTCGTCTTCTTCTTTGAGGTTGTACTACAGCTGGCGTCTTCTTCTACTAGATGAGTCGCTTTGCATTCAGTTTTTCGCAGTAGCGCCATCTTTTGGAGCATGGACCACCAGACTGCCCGCTCTTTCTTACAATTTGCAATATCTTTCAAATAAGTGTATTCCTTAAAGCCCATTCACAGTATTAAACATTAAGTTGAAAGTAGAAACAACTACTAGAAATACATTAAAACTGTTTGAATTCATGCCATTTTAGACATTAATCTGGGATTTCCCCTCTCTTTCATTGATCAACAGTCATTTTTCTTTTGGGGGAATTGTATGCCGAGAAATATTGCAAATGAGGTAAAACAGACTCATAGCCATAGATATTCTCAACCACAAAATGAGCTGCTAAAACCAAGCTTAGATATGAGGCTCCATAAATAAATGCAATATGTGTGTTGATTATTTCTTCTACTTGGAGCCAATGAAGTGATTCAAGTATTATGTTGAGATTTGCACGGACAGAATGACACAAACGTATGTTGACGTTGGTCAGGGCTTTGCAAAAGCACATTTACACCACTAGATGGCATACTGCTTTGAAGTGTATCAGTTAAACAGAAAGGGACCACTTGTATGTGTTTGTTATTAAAACGTTTTATATTGAAATTACTGTATAAATATTACAATTATAGTTTGAAAGAGCCACATCTTGTTGGACACACTATACTATGTAACTTAAAAAGTATTACTTTTACACCCTATTTTTCAATATAAATAGTTTTACTAAGAATTTATGAATCAGAATTATGAATTCGTTTTAAATTATTTTATTTAAGAAAGTTTGAAGTTGTCCCAATCAGCGTTATCACAATAATAACAGATAATAACGCAGACTTAATGTGCCATTAATGCTACACCAGTGTGATTTTTGGGCTGTAGAGAACAGTGCAGATCTTCCCTATTGACACCAGGATTAACCTAAAAAAGGAAAATTAACAGTGTAAGAGAGGCACAGATATAATAACAATAATACATGATATTCTTTCCAAAAATTCAATGTCACCTTACAAATAAAATATGAGTGGCAATACAATACACAGATGTGTTGCTTGGGAAACCACAGAGGAAAATAGTCTAAGGCGCAAATAAAGTGAGTAAAGCCAGTTTGAACAAATTCGTTTAGGCTTGATTTAAAATAACACAGTGTCAGACTGTGTGACTATATCATATCATTACTTATCATTTTTTAATGAATTTTGTATTCGTGATTATAATATATCAGACACTGAACTGAAGTAATGATATCACATATATGATATATCCAGACACTGTGTTATTTCAAATCAAGCCTAAAAAATAAATAGTTCAAACTGGCTTTACTCACTTGAATTGCTCCATATGTCATTTTCCTCTGTGGTTTTCTATGCAACCATTTTTTTATTTTAACACTGCTCGTAATTTATTTACTTGTGTATTGTAAGGTGACATGGAATGTTTTGAAAAGTGCCCTCAAATAAAATGTATTATTGGTATTTAACTGTGTGTCTCTCTCACACTTAATAGGGAATATCTGCACGGTTCTCTACAGCCCATGTTCAGCAGAAAAGGTGGTGCAGCTGCCTGGTTTGGCACCCCCTCTATAACTTTGTCAAGGATGGTCAAACTCCCACCATAATCACACTGGAGTTTGCTGTTCACCTGTAGTTTGTGCACAAAGCATTTTACTCTGGTCTCAGCAGGTGAACAACTAAAGTGGGGCTTCCACATCAGGCAGACCATGCATTGGTGCTGGATTTGGCACCCCCTTGTAACTTTGTCCAAGATAGTCGGACTGTCACCAAAATCACACTGGTGTTTGCTGTTCGCCTCTAGTTTGTGCACATAAAAGCATTTTACTCTGGGCTCAGCAGGTGAAAAACTAAAGAGGGGCTTCCACATGAGGCAGACCAGGCGTTGGTGCTGCCGGATTTGGAAACCCCACTATAACTTTGTCCAAGATAGTCGTACTGTCACCAAAATCACACTGGTGTTTGCTGTCCCCCTCTAGTTTGCTCACAAAAGCATTTTACTCTGGGATCAGCAGGTTGAGAACTAAAGAGGTTTTTTTTTTTTTTAAGTGATGTATTTAATTTTCTTATTTTTATCACCTTTTTTTTTTTGTTTAATTAAAAAAAAAGAGTATCATATTAAATATCACATCTTTTTTCAAGTTAGTTTTTAAGATTGTATTACGTATTTTATTTATTTTTATTATCATTTATATTTAGTTTAATTTGTATTTAATTTTTTGGGCCACATTTTTTTTCAAGCCTCTGTAACTTTCCAACTTTACTTATGTCTTGTTCTGTCCTCCATACATGTGTGCTCATCGTGTGCTTAAAGGTAAAAATTCACTCAAAATCAAAACAAAACCTATAGGGCGTTCATTATTTAAAAACACATTGGTGGTCCAGCGGTCTATGCATTGGTTTTTCATGCAGGTGCTCGAGGTTCAACACCCAGGGGATGGACATCTTGTATCTCCTGCTATGCTGATGTTAAATCTGGAGAAATTGTACCCAACACTTTTTCTAACCAAGTGACGCCCATGGCTTATACCAATATATTCTTGTTAGCTTAAAATATTAGCATGTATGTATAGCCCCTCCAAAAAGTGTATTTTATGATACCCTGAAGTGATTATCAAGATGTAATCTGTCTCCATCTGCTGGTCAAATAACAATTTGCCATATTGGGATGAAGATGTGAGAACTCTGCTCAGGATTCTAATGTACTTTGGTGAAGCTGGTAAACAAGTTGTAAAAATGGTCAGATCTTGCACTCAGACCCTCCTAATTTAGCCCAGTTTTTATTTCCAGCTTGATATTCTAAATGTTATAGTGAGCACTTTTTGATGTGATAAAAGTGTAGTCATTGATAAAATATTGCTTCACTATTAGTTGATGGGAAACAGGTTTAGTCCAACGTTTGTAACTTACACCTGGTGTGGCTCTGTAATTATGTGAATATAAATAAGTAAATGTTGCATAAAAAGTTCAAGGTTTCTCACTCTACTCTGCAGAAGTCTATTCAAGAATTAGGAATTTCAGTTGGAGGGTCAATCACTAACATTAGGTGGCATGTTTCCAGGTTGCACTAACATTGGTTAAATAATGTCCTTTTTGACAAATATTTCACGACAAAGGCTACTGAAGAAACTTTCAACAGCATGTATTTATAAAAATCTTCAACTATGTATCGGAACATGATTAGTTGTCATGCTATATATTGGACAATGCTTTATCTAACTTTAAAACGGTTTACTCTAATGTGTTTGTTGTTAAATGTGGGTATTTCGGAAGTACAAAAAAGGTGAGGCCTGAGTACTTGATGCAAGCCTTTGTGCTTGTGTTTCTTAACTTCTGCAGTAACAAGGAAATGTTAGCTTTAAAAAATAGAAGAATCACAATGACAAGCCTCCAACGTTAAGGTGTAACTTACTAGTTTATGTTAGGGGAGTTTTGGTTTAAAGGTAATATTGGATAATGCAGTTTCACATAAGTCATGCAATTGTGTGGGCCAATTGTGTGGGTCAAGGTTAAGTGTAACCCTAATCAATAAGACTCCTTATAAGAAGAATAGTCCACCAAATATGTGTGTGTGTGTGTGTGTGTGTGTGTGTGTGTGTGTGTGTGTGTGTGTGTGTGTGTGTGTGTGTGTGTGTGTGTGTGTGTGTGTGTGTTTGTGTGTGTGTGTGTGTGTGTGTGTGTGCATAGCTGCATGTTTATGTGCTCTTTAGTTTGTCAGTCTGGTATGAAAATTGCCAGTAAATTGAGATTCCTTTCTGCATTCCTGAAGGTTTCATTTTAAGTGTCTGTAGTTAGGCTCTGGTGAATTTCAGAGGCTTTACTCACCGTTTAATAACTCAACAAATCAAACAGAAAGAAACGACCCAACAATGCAATCCTTAAATCAAGCACACAATGCAATAGAATGTAACTATTTCCAATCACCAACACATAACTCGGCCTGCTCCACCCAAATTATTGGGAAGAGACAACAGTGTATTTGTTTAGTAGGTACCATTCCTTCTATTTGTTGACCTCTAAAACCATCAGCTTTTGGCTGTAATACATGCATTTGTTGACCTGCATGGTAACCGTGTTTGAAGAGGCCTTTAGTGTTTGTGCTTTGAGAGAAGGCCGGTAAACCAGGTCTGGCTTTATTGTTCTCCTTAGATACAGTAGCCACTCACTTCCTCTTAGAGGTTTTTGTAAGCTGACTCTACCAGTCCAACTGGCTGCCTTCCTGCCCCTTTTCCCATGGTTAGCACGCCTCGGCTCAACCTGTTGTTCAATGCTGCACAATGACAGATATTTTCAGGTTTATCATGTCCCAAGGACTTAGCCAACTAGTCTCATACGCACACGGTACATGTTTGATGCAAGCACAATACCGTCATTGCCCACGAAATCACGACCGTAGACAGGCGCACGTATTTTGAAGTGTGCGTACCTGACTCAATATACGTTTTTATGCATTGTTCTGTGAGTCATTTTGGGTTTAGCTTGCTTCTAATTTTGTCTCAGCTTATTAACCTGTAAATAGCAACTGAAATTATGCAGCCATTTTGAGATTTTTAAACAATTATTGACGTCTATTGCATGTTGGTAATAACTGATATCCAGTTACAAACAAAGAATAAAAGTGTGCCAGTACCCATCAGGCTCCACAATCAAGGATTGACCCCTCATCACAACGTTTTGCAACCAGCACCTCGGGTACATGACTTGTACCACATGTACCTACTTGGCCTCGCACGTGCACACTTGCACATAGAAAATGCTTTATTATTATTGTCACTTTGTGTACTCTTACCTGCCCAATCCGGCATGTGTTTTATGATCCTTTGCTGTTGCTATGACACCAGAACTTCCCCACGGGGATCAATGAAGACTTATCTTATCCTATCTCACAGTTTTGGTTCTTGTATCTACAATTGATTGAAAGATATGATGTGATATTATCCTTGACACCTCCAAATGTTTGTTATTGACTCAGTT